ATAGGCAGAGACTGCCCATCTTTCTCCTGCAGAGCAGATGATAGATTTGAACCATGTTCCTCTGGGTTTGCACTTGCCACCTTACCACAAGGCTACCAAAGTTCCTTGAGTAATAATTAGAGCACTGTATTTTCACTTCCAGATGTTTAATTATTGCCCTGCTTTAAGTAGCAATGCTTAGTGGTGCTTTGAGCAAAATCTCGAATGATCCAGGAAGCAATAAACGAAGATGGAGGTAATACAGAGACACTGTACCAATAAAATTTGGCCAACATGTAAATATTCAGGAAATAGTGTATGGTCAAGAGCCAAATATAACGAAGTTCAAACTGCACTGAAAGCATTAGCAAGAAAGTAAAGCCTCAGGAATTGATGGGATACCAAATGGTATGTTTCAAGTAACAGAGACAACCTTGGAAAGGCTCATAGTCTGTGCCAGGAAATTTGGAAGACTGCTACCTGGTTGACTGACTGGAAGAGAGCCATATTTTTTTTCTATTCCCAAGAAAGATGATCCATATGTGGAAATTATAAAATAATATCATTAACATCACATGCAATCAAAATATTGTTTACAATCATCCAAAACTGCTGTTACAATACACTGACAGAAACCTTCCAGGAGTTCAAGCTGGCTTTCAAAGAGACTGCAGTACCAGGGATATCATTGTTAATGTCAGATGGATCTTGGCTGAAAGCAGAGAATACCAGAAGAATGTCAATCTATGCTTTATTAACTATGCAAAGGCATTTGTATGGATCATAATAAATGTATGGCTAACCTTGAGAAGAATGGGAATCCCAGAATGCTTAATTGTGCTCATGCTGAAACCTCTACCTAGGTCAAGAGGCTGTTGTCCAAAAAGAGCAAAGGGACACTACATGGTTTAAAGTCAGGAAAAGTGTGCATTAGGGTTGTATCTTCTCTCCATACCTATTTATCAGTATGCCGAGCAAATCATTCGAGAAGCTGTACTCTATGAAGAAGAATGTGGTATCTGGATTGGAAGAAGACTCATCAACAACCTGCATTATGCAGATGACGCAACCTTGCTTGTTAAAAGTGAGATGGGGAAAAAAAGTGCAACAATGAATGAATGAATGAATGAAAATCCAAAATCTGTAAATGTTCATTAAAATTAGTATTTTGAAGCACTTGTTGCAGAAAATCAAAGACTATGGCCTTTAATATGGATCACATCACAACATCAAGAAAACAAAAATTCTCACCACTGGACCAATAGGTAAATATCATGATAGGTGGAGGAAAGATGTAAACTGTTAATGAATTCATCTTCCTTGAATCCACAACCAACACCCTTGGTATCAGCTTTAGGAGATCAGGAGACATACTGCATTGGGAAAGTCTGCAGCCAGTCAGGGGCCTTTCCAAATTACTGAGAAGCAACAACGTCAGTTAAGGTGTGCCGATTCAGGCCATGGTCTTTTCAATCATTTGCTACGCATCTGGGAGCTGGACAAAGAATGATGACAAATGACGAAGAACCAATCATTTTGAGCTGATGGGAGAGACGTATTGAATATCCCAGCGACGTCTAAAAGGACAAACAGATGTATCTTGGAGAAAGTGCAACTGGAGTGCTTCTTGAAGGCAAAGATGGCAAAGCTTCATCTCACATGCTTTGGGCATGCTGTTAGGAGAATCTATTCCTTGGAAAGGAACATCATGCTTGGAAACTTGGAGGGTCAAAGAAAAAAAGACAGTGACAGGGATTGACACAGTAGTGCCTGCAGTGGGTTTGAGCTGTCAAGAGATGATGAGGACGGCACAGGATAGGACAGGGTTCAGATGTGTTGTTCATAGAATTACTAGGAGTCATACTCAACTTGTCACTATCTAACAACAAACTCAGTGTTGTGTGATATCCTAGCACGGATGAGTACGAGGATACAGAAGGGAACGCACCACAAGTCAGACCTACAATCTGAGCCAAACCCCAATCGATGAAAGAGTAAACTTGACCTCAGGTGGTCCCCAAATAAAGAGTTTTACCAGGACCCTCATAAGGAAGAAGTGGTTCATGTTATCACACTACATCTTTGCCATGTGCTTGAGTACATAGTAGTTCAGTTTTAGGTACTCTGTTTTGTGTTGTAGGTAGTTTTAATCAAGCATGTAGCATCTTAACTTTAAAATCCTTCTAGCAGGTTTAGAGAGAGGGAGAAATCTAGACCAGGGAACATTTTCTTGTTTATAGAAAAGAGCTAATGGGGTTCCTGACATGGACCCTATGCTTGGCCCCATTCTTCTCTCAGTTTCATTCATTAACAAAATCGTTTGCAGCTAGCTCTGACCAAGACATATCTCCCAACATTAGTCCTCCAGCTCCTATACTATGAGGGCCACGTGCCTGCAGTGTACCTCAACATTTCCTCTATTTCTTTGCCTGCCAGCCTGATTTCTACCTCCAATATCCATATTGCCTGAGAGCTTTGTCTGGCCTCACCAATGTCCATCCCTATACTCTCAACAAGTAAGAGTGTCAGGGAAGTCACAACCCATTGGGAATAGACCCCAAACAATGATTAGTGGCAGCTGGTGTTTATGTACCCAAACTCTGCTGCTGTTCAGATGTGTCAACCTTGGCACATGCCCTCTTCCTCTTTCCCAGAATTCCCACCCCCAGTTGTCCAAAGTAGCCCTAATCCTTTCAATCCTAATCCTAATACTCTTCCCACTTCTCCGCACCTCTAAACAACGTTGCCTTATATTCCACCCAATCAGTCAATTCCTATTTTGAGTATTAGTAGCAGATCTATTAACACTCACTTGAATCGGAGGGCAACCAGTTGAACACCCGTACATCATTATCAGTCAACTAGCATCAATCTTATACTTCACATTAATCCTCGCAATCATACCCATTGCTAGCCTGATTGAAAACCACACACTTAAGTGATAATCCAAACATCAAGTCCTAATAGTATAACAATTACTGTGGTCTTGTAAACCACCAATGGAAGATAACTTCCTTAGGACATCAGGAAGAAGACATTTGTCCTATCATTAGCACCCAAAGCTGACATTCTTATTAAACTACTTCCTGATACCCTTTCACCATTGATCAGCTTTCTTTTCCTTTGTTATCTCCTCATATTCTTACTAGTATTTCTGGGGATCATCTCCCAAGTCAACTCCTTGCAACGAGATCCTTTTCTCAGCGTTGGCTTCTGGCAGAAACCAAAATAGGACAGCATCCCACAAGAGGTTGAATGGAATCAACCTCGAGGCTTGACTCTTGCAATTTCAAAATATCTGTGTATTCTAGGAGTCAGGGCCTGGGAAAAGCAGACAGAACCTGTTGGGGGTGAGTTCCCCTCTCCTGTCTAGTTTCCAGGACTCACCCCTATGATGGCGTGCTGCAGTCACAGACGGGACGACAAACATTGCATCTCCGAGCAAGTCCAGGAACAGGTCTTTCTTTTTGGCAAGGTCGTCGGTCCTACCTAAGTACTCTTCAGTGACCACAGGAATCAGTTCCTCAGGGACAGCCTGGATGAATCAAGAGTGAAAAATGGCCACCACCCACCCACTCCACAGTTGGCCGACGTGGTTTCTCCACCCAGTGAGGAGAACTTGCTTTGCTAGTGTGCTATTTGAGGTCCTTTGTCTCTCTCCCCAGTGTGACAAGGTGGGAAAACAGGGAAATGGGGCAGAATTCTGGGGTCCTAATTTTCATTCCACCAGTTGGTTGCTCTCTGGCATTTGGACAAGTGCTTCCCCCTTTTTGAGCTTCACCCAATTCCCGTTAATCGCTTGACTCTTACAACAAGAGGGTAAGACTTCCACAACAGTGATGCAGCTGTCTTCTGATCCAGTTTACCTTCAGAGAGTGGGTAGCCCATCAGCTGTTAAAAATTATTGTGAAGCATTGAGAATTAACAGGGAAAAGATCAACCAATGAAACAAATCAGAATGAAAAGCTCACTCTGCCATGCTTTGAATCATTGGACAAATCCAATTAATCCAATGGATTTACATCCAGAAACTCAAAGAAGACAAAGGGCACAACAAATATTTTGCAGAAACTGTCCCACCCTTTGTAGTCATGGCAACATTTATCAGGCTAGAACCCCCATAACTACCAATGATTCTGAGAGGAAAGGCTAGGGTTAGAGGGCTCTGGGGCAGACAATATAGACTCTCCAAGTGCCTCTACCTGCTCAGATGGCTGAGGAAGCCAAAACTCCTTCCAGTAGAGTTGAGTCCTTTGGAAAAGCCTCTGAAATCCTTATGAAGGGAAAGTCCCTCTTCACTTTTAGAAGCCAATTTGAACTCATGACAAAGAATGTTTCTCTGAATTTTTCCAACTAAACTTAGACCATGTGCAGAGACTTCTGAAAAGCCCAAGTCTGAGGTGGGAGACACTGGATCTGAGATCATCTTCCCCACTCTTGGTCTTGGTTTCTTATCTACTCAGGGTCTTCTTTCCAGCCCCGCCTGGCACAGGCATTTCAGAGACTTTGAACTGGAATGGTATAAAGTGTTTGGGGAGATGGACCACCCATTTGGCCATCTCAGAGGTTTCCATGGAAATATCAACCCCTACAGATGAAGACCACAGCCTTTCCTTCAAAGAAGGGCTTGGAGAATGTCAACCAGAGGTGGGAAGGGTCTGGGCAGGAGAGTGTAAGAGGCCTCCGTAACTCACTGTTGGAATAATCCAGCCAAACTCTTGTTTGTTCATTCCGATGATGTAGGGGACAGTGTTGAATTGTTTTTTGGCCACAATCTCTTCGAGTGACTTTGGTAAGAACACTCCATCGACCACCATGGGCAAGAAAGGGTAGCTCTGGGAAGGAGAGCAAAGCACTGTGAGCCAGGCGATGTCAGCAACAGTGAGGATGGCGTAGTCACTGCTCTCCAGAGTGGGCACACGGCTGGTCCTGCATGGGCTGTGTGCATTACCTTCTGGTAACAAACACCTTTAACTACACTTTTTATCACTTCAATACCCAGTGTCAGAAAATCCTGCCGGCATTTCTTCAAAAACAGACTCCAACCTTTGCTCACCATGCCCACTTGACCCTACATCCACCTGACCCTAGACACCACGTTCCTCACCTGAATTACTTCAAGTCTATATCCTTCCACAGATCTTCCTACATCTACCTCTACCCAGACCCCTTCCCTACAGTGTAGTTTTAACATAGCAGCCAATGAGCTTTGGTGAAGTCTAAGGTTATGTCACTCTTCTGTTCACTCTCCTCCTCAGAATCTTCTCATTTTGTTTTGTATCAAAATCTAAACGCTCAAACGAACATATCCTACATCCAATGCCTCTTTAATTTCAAGCCTGCTCTCTCACCTCACTGAATTATTTCAGAGGGCCTCCTGCCTCAGAGCCTTTGAAGAAGCTCTTCCGTCCCCAGTCCTCAGATCCAGCTACCTCACCGTGTTCAGATTTTGTCTCAAATATCACTTTCTCAGTGAGCCTTTCCTGGACTCTTTCCCTTAAAACCCAAACCTCGGTGGCAAGGAGCTGCAAGTACAATCCCAGAGGCACATGGTTCAAATCCACCAGATGCTCTGCCGGGGAAGGAGGGACAATCTCCTCCTGTACCAGTCAGATCTGATTTGACGGTACACTCACACACACACAAGTAATAAAATAAAAATTTAAAAAACAAACAAACAAAAAACCCAAACCTCAAACATATCCACTTGCAAGTTCTACTTCAAATTCCTGTTTCCTTTTTTTTTTTTGTCTTAATACTGATTTTGTTTGTTTATGGTAATCCTCCCAATTAGAATGTTAAACTCTGAGAGATTAAGAGATTTTGAGTCTTTCCTCCACCCCATGTCTGTTCTACTACAGACAACTTCCGTTTTCTAAATCAGGTCCTGGCACATAGTAAGTGCTTATTAAATAGTTGTTAAGAAATTAATTAGTCATCATTGAGAATCTCACTGGACCCTCGTAGCACCATCTCTCAGGGAGGGAATGGTGAGCACTAGTTGGTAAAATATGATGGAGATAATGTCACCAGCATCTGTGGGGATGTGGGAGTTGAAGAAGGAGATGGGGCAGACGGTCCAGCCAGTGTATCTGGGAGGAGAGTGCCCAGGACCAAGCCCTTGCAGGCACCATGTCCCACCAGGAGATGATTTGGGTTCAACAATGAAGATTCTTTAAAGAAAACCAACAGAGGACTATTTTAGCCCAACTTCCTACTGCAGGAGGAGCAGGAAATGCAAACAAGAGAGGCCTAGACTTGAGAGGATTAGATTCATGGAGCACAGAGCTGTTAACCAGGAACACTGGACTAGATGTCCAAGAGAAGGGCTCCAGTTCTGTGTCTGGTCCTCCTGGCTATGCCCACCCACTGCCCCTCTCTGAGCCTTGCTAAGGTAAGCACAAGGGATTACTGTCCCCCCCACACACACACAAGATTGTTTTCAGTACATTTATCTATAACAAAAAAGAAGCCAAGGTTTTAAATCTGTAATTGGGAAACTAAAGGCACTTACTTCTCTGGGATCTCCAAGTAAATCAATACTGAAGAATTTCTGTGAAGACAAAGGCAGAGGTTGTGTGTGAGGCTTCTAGGAGAGAGAAGCTGATCTTTTGTTAGCTGTGTCCTGAAGGTAACAGGGTGTCCCTCTGGACCAAGAGGAAATGTGTAGGTAGACCCTGTGTTTAGGACAAGGGAAGGGTAGGCATGAACAAGGCAAGAGTGGAGCGTGGTGACCCTGAGTGAGGGCCACTGGAACTCTGCAAAGGATAGATCTTGCTTTTGCCTGCCCTTCCCTCCATCTTTTCTGCCTTCTCTTTGAGAATCACCCTAATTTTCTTTGAAGGGACTTCTTCTGTTACCCTTCACTCTGTGAAGGATCCTTGCTAGTTAAAATTAATTATCTCTCTTCTGTACTCCTGCTGTAAGAAAGGTGTTGGTCAATACAGGGAATGTGGGTAGATTGGATACATACCTAGAAAGAGTAATAGTAATTGTCAGACAACTAGAGCTGGGTTAGGGCTGTTGTACATAGGGTTGCTATGAGTTACAGGTGACTCAATAGCACATAACAACAACAACAACAACAACAACAGCTATGAATCACTAACTTTTAGAGGGATTGATGATGAGTGAAAATATATGGTAACTGGAGGATGAATAGACAGACAATTGCTGGATTTATAATAGATAAATGTAAGGTGTGGGTGGATTAGTGGATTGAACTATGTTAGAGGGTTTGGGATCTATATTATAGGATGAAAGGACGCTGATGGGTTGGGGAGGTTGAATACATTAATAACAAAATAATGAATGGATAGACAAAAGTGGTAGATGAGAGTAGATCTCAGAAAATTTAGAAAATTGAGTTACTGGAGAGTTCTGGTGGACTAGGGATAAGAAATCGCACTGCAATCCCAAAGGTCTACAGTCTGAATGCACCAGCTCCTTCATAAGAGAAGGACAGACAATCTCCTTCCATACAGTTTACTACTTCTGAAAACTCACTAGAGGGTCAGCTATGGGTCAATTCCAACTCAACAGCAGACAGCAACAACAACAACAACAACAACAACAACATTGGTTATTGCATGAGCACAAGTAAATGTTCTGGAATTCCCACTCTTATCAATATTAGTCCTAATTTGTTATTATCTACCGAGTTAAATGGCTTTGCATAATCAATAAAATACAAGAAGCAATTGTCTTAATAAAAGAAGGGAACACTGCAGGGCTTAAAAAAATACGCGTGTCAGGGTTGTATCCTTTCTTCATACCTATTCTGCCTGTATGCTGTACAAATGGTCCAAGAAGTTGGAGTGTAAGAAGAAGAATGTGATATCAGGATTAGAAGATTCGTCAATAGCTTGGGTTATGCAGATGGCACAACCTTGCTTGCAGGAAGTGGAGAAGATTTGAAGCACTTACTGCAGAAGATCAAAAACTACTCCCTTCAATTCGAGTTACATCTCAACATCAAAAAAACAAAAATTCTCTCCACTCGGGCCTATAGGCAACATCATGATAAATGGAGAAAAGATTGAAGTAGTCAACAGTTTCATTTCACTTGGGCTCACAATCAACCCCCTTGGTAGCAGCAGCCAAGAAATGAAGACATATTGCGTTGGGGAAACCTGCTGTCAAGAACCTCTTGGAAATGCTGAAAAGTAAGGACATCGGCTTGAGAACTAAGGTGTGCCTCATCCAAGCCATGATCCAAGCCAATTGCTTCCTATGCGTCTGAAAAAGTTGGACAATGAGTAAGGATGACACAAGAATTGATGCCTTTGAATGATGGTGTTGGCAAGGGATCTTGAATATCTAATGGGCTGCCAAAAGAGCAAACAAATCTGTCTTGCAAGCAATGCAGTGAGGGTGTTCCTTAGAGGCAGGGATGGTGAAACTTTGTCTGTCTTACTCTGGGTGTATTTGCATGAGGAACTAGTCTTTGGAGGGATAGGTCGAAGGTCATGCTGGGAAAGGTAAAGAAAGAAGGGAAGAGCCTCGATAATATGGAGAGACAGAGTGAATACCACAATGGGCTAGAACCTGGCAGAGATGATGAGGATGGCCCAGGAGAGGGCAAAATTCAGGTCTACTGTTTACACAGTGGCTATGAGTCATAGTGGACCTGATGGTGCTTAACAACAACAGCAACACTGAGGTAAAAGCTGAGAAAAAAGGAAACAAGAAAAATTGTGACCACCTTTGTTGTTAATATCCTCATTACCAAAATCCAAACTTGTTGTTACCTCTGGAAAGGGGTGAGGAGAAGAGAACCAAGATGAGATACTTGGAATTTTAGGGTAAATCTATGTTTAATTTCCTAAAATTATATCAGAGTGGCAACATATTAAGCTTTGATAACTGAGATGTTATCACGAAATTATTAATTTTCTGGTTTGTGTGGGGTGGGGTTTTTGGGTAATTTTCTGATATTAAAATATGTTATTATGAAAGTGGGTCCGGAGGGAGAGTCTTAAGATCCAAAGGGTACCTCTACTCCTGAGAGAACAGAAACTGTCCCAGCTAGTATTCCCAGGTAAAGTAGACGTCACAAATGATGACACCTGGGGCCGAGTTAACAAGGAGAGCTGCATGACCATGAGAAGGGATGCACTTACCATCTTCAGCGTTACCTCCAAGAGTTCATCCTCTGTTTTCTGGCGCAGGCAGTGGACCATGACAGCTGAGGTGGTGGTTTTACACCCAGCAAAGATGGCAATTTGCTGCAGAGATCACAAGATACAGCAGACTTTAAGAGGGATGTCCTCCCCCTCCAATGTGTTCTACCTTCAACCTCTTTCAGGAGGTAGAAGAAAATAGACTAGCATGTGTGGGTCCTGGGATCTAGTCTTGCCTCTGTTACTAGTTTGAATTGTGATTTGAACTAACCATATATTCTTTCTGAGTCTGTCATCTTAACTAGAACCAGCTGTCATCAAGTCAAGACAATGTAGGACCACTCCACGTATTTCAGAGTAGAACTGTGCATCATGGGATTCTCAATGATTTATCTCATAGAAGTAGATCACCTAGCCTCTCTTCCAAGACATCACAGGGTGAACTTGAACCACTAGCTTTTGCTTAGTGGGAGAGTGTTCATTTTTACACCCAAGGATTCCTCTCTTACCTCATCTCTCTTAAGATAGATATAATTATCTCAAAGTGGAATGTCTAAAGAGAGGCACTGTGGAGTGGTAATTAAGAGTATTGACTCTAAATACAATTTCTGAATCCAAATCTCTCTTTCTTCTCTGTTATGGTTAATACTGTGTGTCAACTTGGTCATGAACCTCAGTGTACTGCAACCAATCTGTGTACTATACATTCTAACCTAATAAGCAGGATTGTAAATTCTGTAAAGATATGATTAGTCCTCATCTGATTAAGAATTAATCTATTCCGGGGTGTGATCCTCATGGTATTAATGTTTAGACTCTGAAAAAAAGCTAGAGACCTTTTTGTCAGATTTACATCTGGCTTGTGGTCTCCAAACTTGAAGCAGAGATCTGTGTACTTGCCGACTTTGAACTCAACAGTATCCAAAGGCAGCCCGCTCAGTCTGTTACTTCCCAACAAAACACCTTGGGTATGTCGGCCTCTGAAACCAGTGTCCTCTAGAGCCAGCAGCCTGAAATCCTGCCTGCTAATGATTTGGACATTGCCTCTTGAGATCTGATCTACAGACTTGAGATTTGTCTCTACGAGTATGTGAGTCATTTCTTTGAGGCAAATCTCAACGATAGATAGATAGATGATAGATAGATAGATAGATAGATAGATAGATAGATAGATAGATGTCACTATCTCTCTAGAGAGCTCTGGTGTCCTAGACAACCCTAGAGCTGGGGTTGTCCCAAAGGCATGCAAGTTCAAATCCACCAGCTGCTCTGCAAGAGAAAGATAGGCTATCTTCTCCGACGTGATCTCCTGCCTCTGAAAACCAGCTGGATGGTCAGCTACGAGTTGGTTCTGACACAATGGTCCATAACAACAACAACAACTTCTATCTCTCTACACACATGCATAGGACATCATGCTGAGAAAGGTGGATAAGTCAGTGAAAGAGATAAAAGATTTCCAACAAGATAGATTGATACTGTGGCTGTAATGATGGTGTCCAGAATGTCTGAGAACATGAGGTTGGGACAAGATAGGATCAAGTTTAGCTCTGTTGTGTATAGGGACACTCACAGCACTATTAAATCTGACCTTGGGCGAGATCTCTCATTGCCTGTATGCTTCAGCCATTCTTACATCCATAGTTCTTTGAGGATGCTCACTGAATCCTTGACAAGAAAGACCCTTGAGATACCAGGAGAACAAAGGTCAGGCAGCTGTCCAAAGTAAGACCTACTTCAGCGGCAGACCTGCTTTCATTCTTGAACAGAACAGAAGCAAAGGCAACACCACTTTCAGAAATAGCCCGGTGGAAGAGGTTCTTGGCCAGAGGAGATAAAACCTGTGAAGAAAACAGAGATGGAGGGAGTTTACATTCAGGAAGGGAAGTACCAGCAGCATCTCTGTTCTTCCCCAGTGACCTCCATCCACAGCTGTGCCCTGTCTCAATACTTGGAGGTTGCTCAAGTAGGTTCAATGGAATGTAAGAGGTCTCAATAGACTTAATGACCGCTGGCTGTTCCCTAGATTGACCTGGGGCCATGGCTTCCCCAAGAGAACCTCTGTAGAGTGAGGGTTAGAACAGGAAAAGTAGGTGGTATGCCCTGATTATCAACAACCAAAAGTAGAAAGATAAGACACATTTTTGAGTTAGTGGATCCCTTACACAGAATTCATCCTAAAATCAGTAATCTGGGAGGTGCATAAAGCTGTGTAAGGATGTTTATGCTGTAGTGTTTATAACAATAAAACACTGGAAATAATCTATCCAATACTATGTCATTGGTTAAAGAAATGAATTTGCATTATTATCATGAGAGATATGTAAACATAACAGTAATGTTATATTGGCATAGTCTGTAGCGAGTTGCACCGCCAACCTACTTAGCTAACCTCCTTAGCTAACCTCCCTAGACTGTGACATAGTCTGTAGAGAGTTGCATGCCTCTGGTAGTTTGAATCCATCAGCAGCTCAGAGGGAGAAAGATTCACAATCTCTTCCCATGGGATTTACAGCCTCTAAAAACCAGCCGGAGGATCATTGATTAATCCGTTCTGACTTGACAATGAGCTTTAAAGAGCATATTTAATGCTGTTGTTACATTTGTGTGCTGTCAAGTGGATTTTGACTGAGAAAACCTATGTTGTTGTTTGCTGTCCAGTCTGAACCGACTCATAGCTGACCTCCCAGAAGGTTTTAAGAAAGTTAACGGCAAAGGAGTCATTTTCCGCCCTTTTCCCATGGAGCAGCTGGTGAATTCAAACCACTTGCCTTTAGGATTGTTGTGTTGTTTCTAACCATTAGGCCTCCAGAGCTGCCTACATTTCCAAAGCTGCTTCATTGACACATCTAAGGCACATCTTTACAAAAGTGAATTGTCCGATCTTCCTATCACAGAGCAGCCGTTGGATTTGAACTGTGTACCTTTGGGGATGCTGTGCAGCTTCTTACCACTAGGCTACCAGAGCTGCTTACAGAATATATAGGACAGCATTTTCAAGGCTGCCTCAAAGGCCGTCCAAAGGCGGATTCGTCAGATTGTCAGATCTTTCTCCCACAGAGCAGCTGGTGAGTTTGAACCACTGATCTTTTAGTTAGCAATGGAGTCCTGAGCCACTGTATCACTAGCACTCCTTAAAAGGAAGAGTATTTAATGAAACAGTATTTAATGCCAAAGGAAATATTCATGTTATATTGATGTGTCAAGGAAGGCTTTTGATAGATACCAGTGCCAGTTTCAACTAAATCAAGAACCTGTTGGGTTGTTTTTTGTTTTGTTAACAATCATGTGTAAGCCTGGATTTAGTCAACAAACAGCTGTAGGCTGGAAGCCTCTTGTTTAAGTCAATCAGGACCTGGTGAGCAGGCCTTTGTATTTAAAAGTCCTTTGGATCCTCAGGCCTGTGGCCTCAGGCACGCTGTTGATTGTGTTTGGGAAGAACAGTGTTCTAAATAGTATAACACTTGTCTGTCAGTTTGCTGTACTGAGATAACTTGGGGTTGCTTGGATACAGAACACTGAGCCACTTGTGTGTCAAATACCATAATGGTCTAATGCCATAGTGGACAGAGTTTAGTAGAGCTCACAGTTCAAGACAGGCTTGGAATCAGGATTGGCATCCAATTCCTAAACAACATTAGAGAAATGATGATAGTTATAGAACAGGGTTCAGATCTTTTATTCATAGGGTCACTATGAGTTGTACTTGACTCAGTGGCACTTAACAACGATAACACAACTTAACAACAGTGTGAGTTGCCATGAAGACAATTCTAACTCATAGAGACCCCGTGTGTATCAGAGTAGAACTCTCCTCCTTGGCAGTTTCAGTGGCTGGTTTCTCAGAAGACCACCACCAGGCTCTTCTTCCGTATCACCTCTGAGCAGACTCTTTCCAACCATCAATCTTGGTCCACCTTTCAGACAGCAATCTATTGTTATCTATTTATATTTCTACCTTGTATAATCTACATTATCTACTTGTATCTCACAGGAACTCATTTTATTTA